GACTAATGTAACAAACTCATGGAGCAAATCCAGGAAGACAAAAATCAGTGACCATCACTTGAAATAAAATTGTTAATTCACATAGTAATATTCACAGGTACATAATCAATTGACTCAAAAGGTGGTGTAATTACACATAATTCAAAACATATAGATATGAATATATTGAATAGAAAATATCTGTAATGGACTCAGGAGACATGTAATTGCAAACGTTTCTTTTACCACAAGCAATGACCTAAAGAACTGTAACCATATGTTAACAAAAGGCGGAGTAGGGTCGATTCAAGAGTAACCACTCTCTCTGTGTGGATTCAACCCAAGAAATCAACCAAACTGACCGCTGCCCTGTTGTGAGGATACCCTGGCCCGAGGTCTGGCCCCAATTTATGCTTAAGTGATTAATTTCATAATCAACTATTTTAAAAGTCATCAAAAACAAGGATGTCAGCTAAAAGAATCACCCACTAGCCAAATTTGCTCCTGTGAACATTAAAAAAATAATTACCACCACACAGACACACACACAGCTGAAATTATTCATAGCATAAAAAAACTCTTAAGAGTCCATAGTCTGACACAGTAGGAAGGCACTTTATAATGCTTGTGGGAAAAGGGAGTTAGGAGATCACAGAATTTTCTTGACAGGGTTTGAAGCCCCTTATTACTATTCAAATTTTTTAAATGAGTGGGGGGGGGGGGAAAGCTTGTCATGAATGCAGAATGACAGTCAAATAATGGTGAAGCAATGTTAAATTAGATGACCAAAATTTTGCAATGGATGCTAACACCCTTTTATAAGAAGTCAAGTGGTGTTCCCAATTTGTGGCAAGTGGGAAAATATGAGCACAGGCAAATCCTGGAAGGCATTAAGACCTTACACCCACTCCTCATTTATTCATGTAGATGGGTTCCCAAGACGAGTTTTATGGAAAAAACCGTGCTATACCAAATGGATGATTTGAAAATGGGATGATTTTTTCCCCTTTGAGATCATCATCTTTGTCTAAAGCTTTCTTATTCCTCTTCAGAGGAGGCTGCTTGGAGGAGACAAAGCAGGACAAAGCTGGGCTGAGGGACTGGAGGGAGCCCTGGAGGCGTAGTGGTTACCCCTGGATCTGCTAACTGCAAGGTCAGCAGTTTGAAACCAGCAGCTTCTCCAGTAGGAAAAACGCCAGTGTTACTCACAGGGGTACCCCGTCCTGTAGGGATGATAGGAGTCGGAACTGATTTGATGGCAGCCAGTTGAGTGTGATGGGAGAGCTCATCACGTAACCACTTGACCTTCCCCGGTGCTGGCTCAGAGCTTTTCTCGTGAGCTGCCTCCCAGGCACCACTCTCACTCCTCTGGCCAAGAGACTCACCTTGCCGCAAGGGTTCCTGAGAGTACTTGGAGCCTGGCAATGCACTTGACCCCACTCAGACAAATGTTTCAGGCCGAGCACAGCTTACTTTAAGAAATCACAAAACACACTCATTTCTTTCAAATGCCCTCTTCAATGCTTCTTTTTTTCCTCCCTTCTATAGAAAACTTAAGCTGCACGGCCTTGGGCTACACAGCCAGATGGGTAAGCCAGGGGACACACTCCCCTCCTGGTTCTTGCCGCTGATCCTCTCAGATCATACCCCTGGCTTCTCAGTGGACTAATTTTATACGCATCAGGATGGCTTCGCAGGGAATCGTGTTTACAATTACTCACAGGTGAATCCTAGCAGTATCTTCTTCTAACTTTTTTTTACCAGACTCATGGAGAAAGGTCATTTGGAGGAAGTTATCTGATACAATCAGATTTCACCCACATGTAATGATCTGTTTTCTACCCCTGGACTGTATCTTGCTTATGCACATATGACCTGGGGCCCGTGGCAAGATGCTTCCAGCAGGCATTGGCCTCCTACTGATCTTAATCAGCCAGGCCTTTCCCCAGGCCACTCCAGAAACAGTGTCTTTCTCCTCTGGGCTGTAGTATATAATTTCTTACCTCCATTTTTAAGTAATTAAGATAACCATCAAACAAACAGTGTGGTCCAATTCACATCCTCCACACTAAAGTCAGAACTCAATCTGATCCCATTCCTGTTTGATGGCAGATAATGCTCTTCAAAATGTTCCTCCTCCCCCACTATCATGATCCCAATTCTACCTTACAAGTCTGGCGAGACCAGAGGATGTACACTGGTACAGATAGGAACTGGAAACACAGGGAATCCAGGGTAGATGATCCCTTCAGGACCAGTGGTGTGAGTGGTGATACTGGGAGGGTGGAGGGAGAGTGGGTTGGAAAGAGGGAACCGATTACAAGGATGTACATGTGATCTCCTCCCTGGGGGACAGACACCAGAAAAGTGGGTGAAGGGAGACGTCAAACAGGGCAAGATATGACAAAATAATAATTTATAAACTATCAAGGGCTCATGAGGGAGGGAGGGGAAAAATGAGGACCTGATGCCAGGGGCTGATGCCAGGGGCTTAGGTGGAGAGCAAATGTTTTGAGAATGATGAGGGCAATGCATGTACAAATGTGCTTTACACAATTGATGTATGTATGGATTGTGATAGGAGTTGTATGAGTCCCTAATAAAATGATTAAAACAAAACAAAACAAAACAAAATGTGACCACAACCACAAGAGTATAAAATTCAGGATTATTATGTATCGTGTAAGAGGTTACAGCTAGAAGGGGCCATATTGAACACAACTCAATATAGTAGACATGGTCATGATGTTACAATTACACAAAACACTTCCCTTCTTTGGTTATACATACTGAAAAATTAGATATGAAGGATCACAGGTTTGTAACTTAACTTCATCTAGTTTACGTGAAAAACAACAACAACAACACCGAAGAACCAGTGTCTATGGAGGCATGCAAATATCGCAACATATTATGGTTGAATCTGATTTGACAAATAGGGTTGCTCATTTTACTTTAATATGCTATAATATAAAATGAGAGGTAAATGATTGCAAAAATTATCTACATTAGTTTTTCTGAGGGGGGAACAATTATTGTTTTCGGTGGAAGTTTACCATCATAAATTAGTTTATCACTCGACATTTCATACACAAATTGTTCTGAGGCATGGGTCGATCTTCCTGCAGTATGTCACTCTCTTCCACTCCGCCTTCCCTGTTTCCATGTGCCCCATTTTCCTAGCCTTTCCATCTCTGCTTCTGGGCAAATGTTGCCTATTTACTTTCATGTAGCTCAGTGGTTCTCAACCTTCTTAATGCTGCGACCCTTTAATATAGCTCCTCATGTTGTGGTGACCCCCCCAACCATAAAATTATTTTCATTTCTACTTCATAACTGTAATTTTGTTACTGTTATGAATTGGGCGACCCTTCTGAAAGGGTCGTTAGAGCCCCAAAGGGGTCGTGCCCCACAGGTTGAGAACTGCTGATGTAGCTGATTGTCCTAAGCAGCAGCACATGTATCAGGGGTACTGTTTATTTTATAGGCCAACTCATGATTTGGCTGAAAGGTGACCACGGGCAGTGATTTTAGTTCTAGATTAGAATTATGTGATATTCTCAGGAATTCCTCTAGTCTCTGTAAGTCTAGCAAACCTGGTCTTTTTAAGAACCTAGCTTTGCTCCACCATTTTTACTCCATTGTAACCAGGATCTTCTATTGTGTCTCTGATCAAAACCATTAGTAGAAAGGACAGGGCAACAACTGGTTCTTTGGATCTGAGAGTACAGAGTGCGTGTGGGGGAGCCACTAGCGTATGGTCCTATTATTATTGAGCTTTTGCTTTCTTTCACATGCCTTTGCTCCAAACAGGAGGATTCTAACAGTTACGTCTTATATGGCCACTCACAAGCTCTTCATCAAGTTAGGATGCAGAACATTACCTCATGAGCTATGTTATGTTAATTGACCTAGATCTCCCTCCCCAAAGATCTAGATTAGTATTTCTCTTTGTCATTATGTACCCAAGCTTTCTTTAAAGGAGATATACCTTGCAGAGCTTGCTTTCTGTTCAATAACAATAGGCGTTAAAAACTTCTATATCGTTGCTATTTAATACAATGTCTGATTCTGTACCTGTATATGAATCAATACTTCCTTTAATTTGTCAAAATTATATTCTTCATGAAAATACACCCATTTTAGGGTGCTGCAATTTTTAAAAAACAATTTATATTTATTAGATCAGTCATGGTTTTATGCATTAAAAATTTCCTACTATTAATAATTTGAGTATCTGATTCATCCAAAATTATGGGAGTTATAAAGTACTAACATACAGAGAGCTGTGTTATCTTAGGTCTTAAAATATTCCACAAACGAAACTTTCAAAATGCAGGTATCTTTCTACTAATTCAATTGCTATTAGTGGAATCCTCAGATAACACAGAGAGCATACCACTTACTTAATGATATATCTAACAAAAAGTACTTCTTGCAACCCTCTGAAGTTATAACATTTGAACTCAACTTTACAAATGCAACTAAGCTAAGTGCTGGCTTGCAGTGCAGTTAGCATCTTAATGGTTAAATCAAGCACATGGAAGTCCTTGGCACATGTTGTTTTTCCGTGCCACTGAGTCAGCTGGGCCTCACAGAGTGACCCTGTGTCCACCAGGATGGTCCCATGCCATCCTCACAACTGGGAAGCCCGAACACAAAATAATGCCCAGGCTTCACACGAAGCCTGTCATATTTTTAATAAAAGATGAAGGATGGTTCGTTACAAATACTGAGCACTTCATTCAGAAATGTGAATTGGTTGGAATTTCTACTAAACAACTGACACCCAACAAACTCAAATAAGAGATGACAAAGCGGAAACCCAGCCTGATTTAGATATGCCTTTATAACTCCTCTGCCATTTACTTAATTACTTTTGAATCCTGAAGTGCTGATCCGCGCCATCACTTCATATTAAATCAGGGACATTTTCAACATACTAAAATAAATCATAAAAGTCGAAACCCTCTTTCAGTTGGAGCATTTCTAAATGGCACCCCCATTCCCATGTTAATTACCTGGTTTCTGGAGAAGAAGAACTCTCGTTTGTCTCTGTCCTTCTAGTTCTTGGAAATGATGGGCTAGTCGGAGGCATCTCACCACTTAGCCGGTCGGGGAAAATACGGTCTTTGTTCAAATTGACATCTGAATAAGGACAGTTGGAAGCACTAGACAATTCAAGGAAAACAGAAAAGAACACTTCCTTTAGGACATATCCCAATGAAAAGGGCAGCCTACAGAATATAAAATTAAAAAAATAAACAATGTATCCTGTTTATCTATGAATATGTGTATAATTAAAGAGAGCTCATGAATTACTTTATCTTTAAAGCACATTCAGAGAGACTTTGTACTCAATTTTACAAAGCAATGCAATGCAATCTTTGGAAGTGAGCACTGGTCACTGCAGAGTACTTCTGTGTTGCGCAAGGCAAGGAGGTGCACACGCTCCCGTGGTGCTCCTCCTGGCCCAGGCAGCCAGGCTTCTTCAATTCCCTTTATCCCAGTGCTGCTCTCTAAAGGAAGTTGGTTTCCCAAGTTCCTGTCCCTGTGCGTAGTGGCATGGCTGATATTTTGGGAAGGATGGGTTATCAATCTATAGCGCATCCCTTTCCTAGTATGTGAAAGATGCAGATGCCAACGTTGGTAATGACCCATCTAATGTACTTCCTTTTCCACCTGTGTCCACTTACTGGCCTTTCATGCCTGATGGAAAGTTTATTTCATATAGCAAGAGATCAACGTTTATCAGTAGTTACTAGGGTGGGTAACGCACCCACCCCCCCACCACATATTCACTGCCATCAAGTCAATTATGGGTAGGAGGTGAAAATAGAAAGTTAACTCTAACAGACACGGAGTTTCTTCTAAGGGTGACTGATATCAAGGATACACAGAAAGCTTTTCACATTTATTAAAACTGCACAAGAACTTTACAAAATCACCAAACAGCCAAATTCACAGTCATGTTGTCAATTCCAAACTCACAGTTATCCTCTAGGACACTGATTCTCAACCTGTGGGTCGTGACCCCTTTGGGGGTCGAACAACCCTGTGAAGCACATATTTCTGATGGTCTTAGGAGCCAAGACACGGCTCCTATATCCATCTCCAGGCAGGTCCGGTCCACCCACATGCAGATATGCCCACATACAAGTAACCCGTGTGAAGACTGTTACCCATGCTACCTCATGGTTCAAGACAAAATTTCATTTATTTGTCATTAGAAATACATATTGTTTTTGTGATTAATCACTATGCTTTAAATATGTTCAATTTGTAACAATGAAAATATATCCTGCATATCATATATTTACATTCTGACTCAAAACAGTAGGAAAATTACAGTTTGAAGTAGCAACGAACATAATGTTATGGTTGGGGGTCACCACCACATTAGGAACTGTATTAGAGGGTCATGGCATGAGGAAGGTTGAGAACCACAGCCCTAGGATAAAGGACAACTGCCGCATATGATTGGCTCCCCTTGCTGCTCTGATGCACGCCCTTAGTGTTTTGCTCCGGTGTGGTGGGGTCAGATCGGGCACAATTCCCACACTGTGTCTCCAGTGTTGTCCCCTGTAGTGCTATGGTCAGTGAGGGATGTTGTGTCTCATGGGGGGGTGGGGGGGCTGGCCCTATGGTCCTCTCTGTGCATTGGCTGCTCTGAGCAGGAATATTGTCCTTGGGGAAGAAGGCTGTTTTTCACCAAGTACAACCTTTAAATTCTTTTATATATAAGTATAATTATAAATATACTATGGTATTGTCCGTTTTCTTAGTGTTCGCATAATCATCCTCACCCCGTTACAGTAGAAACCTGTTTAAACACACACACACACACACACACACACACACACACACACACGTACACACGTTAGGGCGCACAAACAAACCAGGCAGGATTATCAAGCTGCTGGGTTTGCAGGAGAGCTCAGCAGTGAAGGGTACAGACCTAAGTGCAATACAGGTCTGGGCTGCATCCTGGTTCTGTCACTTACTTAACATCTCTAAACTGCAGGTTTTTTTACCTGTAAAGGGGATTAGAACAGTGCTTACCCTCTATAGTGCTGTTGTGAGGATTAAATAACATGGAAGTGCTTAGAACAGTGCTTGAAACATAAGAAGCCATCAACAAATGTTACCTATTGTCACTATTTAAAAAGTTGAAGAATCATACTTAACTTCCTGAAATAATCTGATAATGCACACAAGAACATCACCAAAAAATAAACAGCACTAAAACTCCCTATTGTTCCTTCCTGATGAAGACAACCTGTGTTCCTCAGAAAAGGTGATGTTCCTCCTAAATAACACCCACACAGAGAGCATTATTCAAGTCTCCATGCACATCTGTTTATACCTGAGTGTGGCCTCTCAGGAAAAGCGGTCCTTTTCTCTGAGTAGCAAGCACATCACCTACCTCAGGGTCGGGTACAAAGCAGACACTCACTGTTTGGCTGGAGATGTCCAAAGTCCCTAAGCTTTAAAAACTTTATATGGACCTCATAAACAACCTTGAGAGGTTGTTAGAAATACTTTTCTTAATTTCTCCTAGAAAATGCTATGTGTGATGGTTCCAAATATGCAACTTAACTATTTTTATACAAGTGCAGTCATAAATGGTTAATGCACTTGGCTGCTATGCCAAAAAAAAGGATGCTTGAGTCAATTCAGAGGAGCCTCTGAAGAAAGGCCTGGTGATTTACTCCCAAAGTATCAGCCAAATATGACAGAACACAGCTCTACTCTGACAGATGTGGGGTGACCAGGAGTTAGAGTTGGCTAGTTTCAGTTCTCCTTTAATCCATCTCTGCCTTGACTTCCTCATATGCCAATTAATGAATCAACAAAGGGCAATGTTGACACAGCTGCTATTAGTGTTCTCCTGCTGGAAAGGCAAAATTAAGCAGTTTGGTCACTGGATGTCCCTAGAAGTTAGAGTATTACATGCAACTCTTGCACTGATCACTGAGAGTTCAACACAGAAAAATCACGGGCTCAAATTTCATCGGAGACACATCTTCTCTAAAACGTATTAGATCAAATTCAGTTATTGTGATCATCAGAGAAGGTAAAAAACAAATGCTAGTCAAAGCAATCTTTTGCTTATGTGTTCACAAAATTGATTATTCTTGCTAAAAGAGCAACCGTCCCTGTTATTTAAGCAAAGAATGCATGTTTTGATTTATGTGGTTTCTCGGTAAATTAATCCAAAGAGAATTTTCTCATTATGTTTTTCTAAACACAGCATTCTCAGCAAGGGCAAAAATAAGGGCCAGTGAAATGAACCGTTCAAAGAATACCCATGATGCAATAGCTATTCCACAAGTCTCCTAATGAAATGGGAAACAGGCCGTGCCTGTTATAGATTAATATCCTGCCAGCTAAAAGAGTGTTGAGCACTGTAAATAGGACAGTGGGCACAGAGCGACCAAGTCAAAGGTTAAGAAAAAAAGACATTAACACTCAGCCAGGAGATCCCACCTTACAGTGGCTGGAAACCACCCCTCATTCTTGAGGTCCCGGTCAACCAGTAGTTCTGCCCAAGGAACAGACACCAATGTAAGTGAAAAGAAAATATAGCTTCTTTATCAATTTATGCTTTTTAAGCCATAGGGTCGATATCTGCCTATCTCCTTCCAAGAAAAGGAGTAAATCACCATGAGTGGGCCCAAATGTACTGAAACAATTTCTTTATCACATGTCTCCATCATAACTTCCATTGCTCATCCCTTCTATCACAAGGTAAACAACATTTCAGATGAACAAATGTGCCAAAGATGTTCAATGTGCACTTGGGGAAAGTGATTTTATGAGTGGCCAAGGCCACTGGGAAAGAGGCAGGACTGTATTACCATAGGGCATGTTGGGATAGGGAGGCCTCTCTCCTCTGACCTAGAGCATTTCTACAAGAAACAATGGTCAATGCCATACTGTGAGGTTTTTCTTCAGAAGATCACATTTAACAAAATCTCCAACTGCATCCCAAAAAGAAACTGTCAGTATTTATCCATCTTTCATTTCTTGGCTCTTTTTTTCTACACAATTTGAACAAATGGTATAGTGGGTTGCATATTGGGCTGCTAACCACAAGGACAGCAGTTTGAAGCTCCCCAACAGAAAGAAGAGGCTTCCTACACCTGTAAAGAGTTAGGCTTGGAAACCCACAAGGACAATCCTACCCTATTGGAAAGTGTCACTATGAGTCAGGATTAACTTGATGGCAGTGAGTTTGGGAATAATGTTTTGAGGTTGTACGTTTCCATATTGGTTATGATTTGTAGTTTGGTATTTTAAATAAATTATGTATAGCTTTTAGAGTTCCATTAGTTTGTGAGTTCTCTGAAGGGTGGGTCTCTGACTAACTCACAGAGTGGCACAGAGCTGCTTTGAGAGAGGAGTGGTCAAGAATATACACTCAGAACTAGATTGACTGCCATTCCCAGGTCTTTATTCCTAAGGTTTCAAGTAAGGCAACTTATTTAATGTCGCACAGGCCATAATGACTTCATCAAATACAGGTAGCTAATAATGGTTCTTTCATCACAGGATTGTTTTGAAGATTATACGAGACATGTAGAACAATAAACAATAGCTAACATCAAGAAAATAAATGATTCTTTGTTGTTATTAGATAAAAAAAGCTGCTCAAAAATACTGAAAATATTTTATGAATATAAAACTGAAGCATTCTACTGAATTACATTTGGCATTTAGACTTACATAATGCTTGAAAAATAACCCAGATGCCTTCAGCAGCTAATACTTAATAACTTATATGATGTAGGGAATTTTTATTCAGCTTAAATTAATCATGTAATTTTTGGCTTACAGCCATACAAGCAAACAAAAGGATTTTAAATGAATATTTTCAAGGAGAATCACCATTCTGTCTAGGCTCAGTCTTTTATACTCTGGAACAGACTGAACCCCATTAAAAGAGAAAAATAAAACAAAAAAACCTAGGGAGAAATATTGCACAAGGAAGATAAGCAGCATGAGGTTGCAAAGAAAAAACTGAAATTACATCCAGATGAAAACAAGAACAGTACTTTTGGATTGTCTGTTGGATTCTTAGAGCAAAATGTAATATAAGCTTTAGATTCTTGCCATGGCCTATATTCGCAATCTGTATATACAGATAAATAAGTAATCACTTTTCTTCCGGGGCAATCCAATTCATCTGAAGTTAGGTCACTTACTACAATTGATTAATTTTAAAAGTTTGGGGCTTTTGGATTACATACCTAAATAGGTCTTTTTGATTCTTAAAAATCCCTGTTAATTATGAGGAATCTCTTAGTACTTCAGTAATATTTTAAAAATTCTACAAAGACTTCAAAATCATCGAAACAATTATCTAATTTCTAAGATACATATTTGGTACCCTTTTTAAGTTATTTAGGGATATGAAAAACATATTGGAAAATATTTTTCTGACCAAGACATCCCATGTTTGACTATTTATATCCGTGCTTTTTGCAACTTGGCTGCCAGTCTAAAGTCATCTCATCTTTCATTATTCACATTGTTGAGTTGTCCAATCACATCACATTCAACCAAACAAATACTCTGAACAGGGTCATCGTCTTTTCATTACTCGTGGTCAGCCCCACATACTCAGAGATACTTGGATTGCTACAAAAAGGATAGCTAGAGTAGGTCTATTTCAAGATCTGTGAATGTATTTTCTTCCAGACAGATTTTCAAGTAAAGATATTACCTTTCATTTTCCCATGATCACCATGGAAACTATATTTAGTATGGCTCTGAATTTAATATTAAGTCTTCATCTATTTATTATGCATGGAAAGCATTATTACCTTACACAGATTTGGGGCGAACACTTTGTATTTGACTAAGTCCTCATGGAACTGGCAGCAACTACATACCTCTGAGGGCTCAGGTGCCTTGCTCTCTTAAAATGGCCAATCCCTTTACATCCTGGTGTCAAGCATCCAGTCTGTTCAGAAGT